CAGCAATGACCCAGTCACGCTAAAGGAAGGCTGGAGCGACCCTCCGGAGGTCACCTAGTCCAGCCCCTGCTCCAGATAGGAACAGCCCTGTTTAAAAGGATGATAAAAGTTCCTTTCCTTTACAACCCTACTAGCTTGACCAACCAGCTACCTATAGCGTGAGGCAGAAGAAGAGAATGGCTAGGAGAGTACAAAGATGGAATGCTCTTCATCCAGCGCCCCGTGGAGTGGATGGAGCTGGCTCCGAGGCCACCTGCGAGCCTCTGCTCGCTGCTGCCCCCGAGAGAAGAGTATAAAGATGGAATGCTGTTCTGGCAGGAATTTGTGTGGTGAGGCATCTCTGGGCTCTGACAATGCAAATTACCTCGAACAAAGGCAGGAGTAGGGTCTCAGATTTCAGGTAGGAACAGCCCTGTGTAAGAGGAGGTTGGATGATCACCTGTCTGGGGTCTTGTGACCCCAGCATTCATTCCTGCCTGTGGCAGGGGCTCAGGCTAGATGATCTGTTCAGGTCCCTCCTGACCCTAGCTACTATGAAACTATAAAAACATCCCATGCAAGTCCCTGTCTAACCTGTTTCTAAAAACTACACAACAACCCTGTTGCACACCTAGGCACATTGCCCCAAAACACTGGGAACCCCCTAACCTGCCACTGGTAAAGCAGGGAGACGAGCCCTGTCCATGTCCTGCCACTGCACAGGGTGTTAAGATAAACTCAGGACATCCCAGGAAGAGGCCATGCCCCTGCTATAAAGGAAGGCAGAATCCTCACGGTCCATGCCAGTCTGACCATGGGGTAAAATTCTTTCCTGACCCCAAATATGATCAGTCTGTCCCTGAGTAGAAGAGGGGCAAGACCCTTTAACCAGAATCTCTTGCTTTTAGTCCCAACAGAAGCACTGCACACCCTGGTCAAAGTCCCCAGCCTTGCCTGCAGCCTATGCCCAATGCCTCCGAGAAGGGTGGGGGAAAAAACTAAACAAAACCCTGAGGCTGGGAAGAAATTTTCTTCCCCAAGTAGCAACTGGCAAAACTTGGCAGCAGAAAACAAACACCCTGCACTCTATTTTGCAACCTGGGTACCGCAAACATCAGACCCCTGGGTCTGAAAGCACAGAGCTTGTATATGCTCTTGCAGCCCATAGGGCTCAGCAATGCCCAGAGCCAGTGGGCAGGTGATTGGTGTCCCACATGCAGAACTGTTGATAGCAGAAAGAAGAAACCAGCAATTTGAAGTGTTCATCTGAGAAATGGCCACATGATGGCACCATCAGCAAGGGAACACAGCAAGGCACTAACCTCTTAAAGCCCCTGAATACACCTGGGCAAAGGATTCCTTCCACATACCTAGACCTTTCCCATCTCTCCAGAGCCCTGTATCTGAGGGGCAGAGGGCCAGTGAGCCTCAATGGACTACACTGGTTTAGGGCACTGTTGAGCATTTGTGCTGTCAAAGCAACTCCTTCCAATAGTCATGCCATCATGTCCACTGGAGTATCATCAGACAAGTTCTGCTCAGTAACTAGAAGAGAGGTCAGACCTGCCAGGCCCTTGCATGTCTAGGGGAGACAGCCATTCACAAGGAACCTGTTTTCATCACAAAGCATTGCTCCTGGATCTGGCAGTCTGTAAAGGGCTGTGGGGACTGGGGTGCCTTGTCTTGCACTAGAGCAGTGGAGTCAACCACAGTGGGGGCCACAAATTAGCCCCACACTCTTGCCAAGTGCTTTGATCCCTTTCCCTTGCTCTGCTTTCTGCTCCAAGCCATGCTCCCTATCTGTTCTGCTGCACTGCTTTCTGCTCTGTCACTGTGCTGCCTGTCCCCACCCTGATCTGATACATGCCACACACAGACTGCCTGTGCCATGGGTTGGCCCACCCCTGCAAGAGAGTGCAGCTCAGAGAAAGCCAGAGGAGACGTACGTGTCTGGGAAGCCAAAAAACAAGTCGGGGCCTCACAGTGTTGACCTGCAGAGCCTGGTGAATCTCCTCCCATGACCAGCCTGGCTCCAAGAGCTGCCAGCCAGCATCCCTGGTCAAGTCAGGCTGATGCAACCTTGCCAAAGAGGCTGGAGGGCTCCCACTGTCAGCAGTCCCTGTACCTCCTGGTTTCTTCAGGCTGGGTCTTCACTGGGGATTATTAAGCCTTTCAGACAAGTTTGTGAGAGTCCAAAGGTGCTGGCTACACCTCACGGCTCTGCCAATGCCACTCAGGCTGGGGCCTACTCCTCCAGCCCTGGCCTCCCATGCACCCTGCATGTGCCCTCGGTCCTTACCTCCCTTCCTCATTCCAGTTCCACACTCCTCAGAAGCGGAGACTGACCTTGCTTCCACGCAGTCTGCTGGTTCCTGTGATGTGGAGACAACACTGTTGGCTGCAGCTGAGCCCACCAAACTCAGCTCACTAATGGCCTTACCCAGGTCTGGGGAAGAGACAGCTAGTGCATGGATGAGCTCCACACACAGTGGTTCCCTAGTACTGAGATTGCAGGCTGCTCCCACACCATGAGAAGTCTGCTGGGCTTGTAGAGGTGGGGAAAAGGCGGAAGCACCGATTTCTGCATCATCCTCTTGCTTTGCTTGTTCTCTGCATCAGCCTCTCTCTCTCACACACCCTTTTCTCTAAGCATTGCTCACCATTGCAGTGGGAAGCCAAGGAGGAGAGAGTATCTTGGTCCTGACCATTGTCTCAGGAGGGTGACCCATTTCTGACCCCAGCTGTCAACAGGGGAGCCAGACTGTTTCTGACACAGGCTAGCCAGCTGTGTGCTTTAGGGCACAAACCAGGCATCAGCCGGGGTCAGAAGGGAGGTGCACTTTGCATGGTGTATTGCACAATGGAGGTGAACGAAAGGATAGATAGCTCGTCCGGTCAACATGAAGTCAGGCAGAAGGAAGGGTGCTATAAAAGGACAAGAGGGAAGTATGCACCTCGTGCTGCAATGCCTGGCTTTGGCCACCAGGCAGGCAGAGCCTTTGGCTGCTCCTGTCAGGTAGTCTATGATCTCCAACTGGCTCACTCGCCCCCAGAGCCCCCAGTCCCTTCCCTGGTGCCAGCTGCAGCTTTCCACAGCTTGGGGCTCCACTAGGGCCAGAGAAACAGTGATAATTACCTGTTGAGTGCAGCTGTACATGGGGGAGAGCTCACCTCTCCTCCCATCCTCCCTTTGCTAATGAGCTGCGGCGGGGGGGGCTCTGTCAGGTCACTGCAGCAGCTGGACCAGAAAAGCCTCCCCGGAGATGCCCTCACTCTGGCATGAGGGACGTGTCTTCATTGCGCAGGCCACCTCCACCACCAAGGCATGGCCCAATCACAGCTGTCCCATCACACTGCCCAACCTGTTTGCCTGGTTTGGGACGCTCTCAGCCTGTATCTGAGGCCCTGGACAGAGAGCAGGAGCCCATAGCCGCTGAGAAGAGGGTGCATAACTGTATGGAGCTCTGCTTGGGTGCCTCAGCCTACATATAGCTTCAGGGCCTTGACTGCTGGTTCCATCCTTGTCTACGTTCCCCCCTGAGCTGGGGTTTTTCCCAGCTTACAATAAACTAGGGCTTGATGCCACTCCTCAGCCATTCAACATCCCCAGGATGGGATAAAGCAGGATGTCCAGGGTTGCTAGCCTGCCTAATGTCACTGGACATCAGCAGTGGAGAGCTTTGCTCTGAAAGGAGGCATGGTGCTAACACTAGCAGGTCTCTGCTGCTGGTGGGAGCAGGCCCTCAGTTCCCTGGCACAGAGTCATAAAGAAGTCAGGATGTAAGGGACCTCAAAAGGTTATCTATTCCAGCCCCCTGCCAGAGGCAGGATCATCCCTATCCAAACCATCCTATATGATCCATAATCTAAACTCTACATAAAGACTACCCTCAACCCTAACACAACATAGGCCTAACACCCTAATTTGCGACAGGTCAAGAGGAACCACACAGCCAATGTCCTGCTTCTATAAAATGTTCTCAATATATGCACAAGCGATCTCAGGTACAGTCCCCCCCCCCCCCCCACCATTGGTACAGAAGAAGGCAAAAACCCCCAGTCCATGCCAATGTGACCATGGGGGAAAAATTACTTCTTGACTCCAACTATAGTGATTGGTCTGACCCCGAGTGAAGAGGCAAGACCCAGGAACTTCTGGCTTTGCTTCTAGCAGGAGAATCAGCAAACCCCAGTTGAAGTCTTCAGCCTTAGCTGTAGCCAACACTCAATGCCTCTGGGAAGGTTTAAAAATACTCTGACACAGCAGAAAAAGCAGGGAAAAGAAGAGAGGAGCAATCAGCAAAGTTGAAAAGTATGGGCAATACCAATGGTGGAAAATAGGCAACCTCTTCTAGAACACCTCCAGTGATGGAGAGTCCACAACTTCCCCAGGCAGTGTATTCCACTGCCTCACTATTCTCACAATGAAGTTTTTCTGGATATTCAACATAAAATTTACTTTGCTGCAACGTCAAGCCATTGGTCCACATCCTGCTCTGCGGCAAGAGAGAAAAGGTGCTTTCCCTTTTCTTTATGGCAGCCCTTCAAGTATTTGAAGACTGATCATGTCCCCTCTTAAGTGCCATGTGTGCAAGCTAAACTTGCCTAGCACCTTTAGTCTCTCTTCTCAGGATTTACCTTCTAAGCCTTTGATTGTCTTTGTTGCCTGCCTCTGGACCCTCTCTAACTTATCCATGTCCTTGTTCAAATGTGGAGCCCAGAAGTGGAGACAGTACTCCAGATAAGGCCCAACCAGTGCTGAGTAGAGAGAGGCACTATCACCTCCCTTGTGCCTAATACTTCTGTTGATGAACCCAGAACTGCATTTGTCTTGTGTGGCCGTGTCACACTGCAGACTCATACTGAGTCTGTGATCTACTGAGACTCCCAAGTCTTTTTCCACAGTGCTGCCATCCAACCAGTGTCACCCATTTTATATTTGGTTTTGATTATTCTTCTCAAGGTTTGTCCACACTGAACTTCATCCTGTTAGCTGTAGCCCAGTTTTCCAATCCGTCACAAGATCCTTCCAAATTGTGCTCACATTCTCCAACATATTCACAATCATTCCCAGTTTCGCATTGTCTGCAAACGTGCTCAAGAATCTTCCTGTGCTAGGATCCAAATAATTAATAAAACACATTAAACAGCACCAAGCTGAGAACAGATCACTGGAGGACTTTACTGAAAACGTCCTGCCATTCCAATGTGGGCCTTTTATTTGTGGCTGTTTTGCCAGTTATCTGTCCACCTTGTGGTAGTTTTATCCAGCCTACATTTCTCCAATTTGTTTATGAGAAGGAGATCAAGTTTGTTTGACATAATTTGTTTTCCATAAATCCATCATGGC